CCTGAAAACTTCCAAACAACCAGTCTGTGCATTTAGAAAGAGATGACCCTGTAAACTCATTTCTTCATTAGATATGGCTGCTGGCACAAGTCAATATATTAATCTACAGTACATTTTAGAAATTTTCCCTCATTTATATTACATCCCCCAACGAAACACTTATTGAAAGATAAAACTCGAAAAATCTAAAAAAGTAAATAAAAAATAACAGGTACTTATAGGATTATCAATTTACACCATGAATCACATCACGTTCCACTGCTATTCTCAGGCTTGTCACCTTGACATTTGTATCTTAAAACACCATGATACACCCACTTCCTCCCACTGACACTGGAAGCAAGGTGATGTAGGATTGTAAGAAAGGGGGCAGGTGAAATTAAAATTAAAATTAAGAACATGCAGTTTATATAAAAACTGTTCTTTAAGAAACACCAAGTCAGATGAAGGATTAAAAGGGAGATAACAATCAAATATATCTTATTTGCAATAAATAATGCTATTAATCACTTTAAAAAACAGTTTATAACAGTCCCATAAATCGCTGTAACCTTAGGTTTTTCCAGGCTTTCTACTTTTTAATTTTTTGTAGACAGAATAAAAATCAATGCTTCACTTGAGTGTCTAGTCCCCCGTTATGTCAATTTGTCCAATTCTTATTCATTTGATCATAACCATTTAATCCAACTAACCAGCCAGGCTGGAGATATGTTCGTATTTCAAAGTATTTTTTTTTTTAATTTGGTTCTGCAGCAAAAGTGGTTCTCGTAAAAACAAAATGGAAAGGAAGCTTATTGGGATAGATATAAAAAGTCTAAAATAAACCTTTTAAATTAACAAAATCATGTCATTTTGCTACAATCTGAATAAAAATTAGTATTTTGTAATGGGACATTTTAAGACATCCCTCGACTGAGGGCTGAGCACGCTCACTGACCAAAGCAAAAGCAAAGCTCTAGATACAATGCAACTTAAAAAAAAAAAGACTTGTTTTAAACATTTATTTCTTTTATAACAATTCTTGCAAGGTGGAAGTTCAACTGTCCTCAGTCCAAAACGTAGTCTTTATGCGATTAAAATATGGTACACGCAGTATTTAAACAAAATCCACAACTGCTCCATTTCGCATTACCTCAAGAATAATGCTTGAAGGTCACTATCACCATTGTGAAAAGCAGCTATTTGTCAAGTCTTTTCCCTGAGAATGACTGTACACTGTCTGTACAACTTCTAAAAGTGACTGGAATGGTTTGTACACCTTCAGTTATCAAGTCACAGGCTCAATAACGTGTAAATGGTGAAGTGGAAAATTTACATATTCTCAAGTCTAGAGTGAAAGGATAAAATGGATAAAATCACTAAACTTTACATCTGGGTGTTTTTGAGGGAATATCACCGATTACATAAAGATACTTTCATAAGATGCACCTGTTTTAAAAAAAAAGATAATTTGATCTCCGAACAATTTTATTTTTTGTATGCACTTTTGCTTAATTGGCAGTTCAATTCATGATGTCCATGTACCCAGAAAGGGTGGAACGTCTAAGGAGGGGGGGTGCAGGCATGGTTCAGGTGAGGGCTCTCATTTGGACATTCAGTCTGAGAACCAGTAGCCAAGGGCCCTGCCTCTGCTGCTGTGGAGTTTCCTGAATCCCTCTGCTCCAAAGAGTGGCGTTCCCTGGCGTTCGAAGGGCTTGAGCTACTTGCATCACCCTCCAAGGCAAAGGATGTCTGTGCAATTACACTACACATAATGTCACACTTGTCACTGATTAGACCATCTATTACAGAGGCTGCCTCAGTCTTCACCACGTCCCCATGACTGTCCTGATCAACTGACAGCTCTCGCTCCTCAGTGACTTGCAAGCTAGTTTCAGGCACAGTGGTCTCAGCACAGCTGCCAGTAGTGGTAGAAACCTCATTTTCATTGATCTGGCAATCTTTGCCTCTCACACTGCCGTCACTGTCACTGTCGATGGTGATAACAGTCGGCGATCTCTGAGGTGCTCTGTCCTTGCTTCTGTGCCTCCTGCTTTTCTTTTTGTGCTTCTTCTTCTTCTTGTGGTGCCGCCGGCTCTCTCCCGTGGCCTTCCCCTCGTATACGATCTCCACACTCGGGCTTCGGCTCTTCCTTCGGGACTTCTTGTGATGTCTTTCGCTGTTCTCCTTCCTCTCCCGGAGGCTGGATGAGGAGGATACGTGCGACTTGGATGCTTTGTCTTTGGAGGTTGCCTCCAAATGGCGAGTCTTGTATTTCCTTTTCCCACTTGGTTTTTCAAGCCTTGATCTTCGGTGAGCTCCGTGGGATTCCCGGGAACTTGTGCTGGACAAAGTTCTTGAACGCCTCCTTTCCCGGCGGTGGTGGGAATCCCTGTGACTGCTCCGGCTTCTACTTCGGGAGCGAGAACAGGCGCCATAGCCTGGGCTCATGCAGTAACTAGTGTAATAGGACCTGTTCTGCACATACAATGAATCGCTGTTATCTCTGTCTCTGCTGTAGCGACTGTAGGAGTCCCAGTGGTATGAATAAGATTTCTCATGGTTGTGTCTAGAGTAGCTGTAGTCCTTGTCCCGACTTATGGGCCATATAGCATCCCTAGAGGAAGGATAGTCTCTACTGCGTGATCTTGAATGCTGCCTGCTTCTTGAAAGCGTGCTATCGCTGTTTATCGATATGGTTGGGCTCCTTACTGACCAACTCCGTTCTCTGCTTCGAGATCTCCTCCTGCTCCTATGATGAGACCTTTCTTTGCTCCGTGACCTCGTTCTGTCTCTTGACCTGTTTTGCCTGTGTCGCCTTCGGTCATCCTCATAAGCATGTCTGTCTTTGCTGTAATGTTTTGAACTGCTTCTGTCTTTCTCTCTCGAAGCCCTCTCTCTGTCTGCTGAAGGTGAACTCCTGCGTTCAGAAGGCTGCCTTTCTGTTTCACCAAATGATGACCGATCTTGGTCTTTCCTCTCCAACATCTTGCTGGATTGATCACATCTGTCTGGAGATTTGTCTTTAGACAGTGAGGAGCATACAGTAGACGGTGGACTAATGCTACAGAATCTAATGTGTTCAGGTTGTTCTGGTACCTCTGCAGTTTCATTGTTGACAGACTCTTCAGAATCAGAGGACAGCTGGACAAGTTCAGGTGTCCTTTCAGCCATTGGCTTGACATAACCCACAATCACGCAGTCTTCTTCACCTGATGAGGCATTGCCACCTTCATTACTGGCTGGATCAGTTTTTACTTGATTGCTCTGTTGCCGAGAAGGCCCAGGTGCCCTTTCTTCCTCTCTGCTGCTCTCAGACTCTGATTCACTGACAGACCGTGAGGGCAGCTGTACCTGTTCTACTGTTGAGTAAGATGGGCCAGGAGTTTCATCGTCCCACGGCGCTTGGCTCAAGCCACTGCCTGCCACGCTGAGGGAAGGGCGATTCCGCTCTCCAGAATCAGCTTCATCGGCCGAAATGGTAATGACTGATGAGTCCGAGCTGCTGCCTTCTTCATAAGACGGTGCAGGGCAGTCATAAATGGCATGCTGGTCATAGGCATCCATATTGTAAGGGGACCGTGCAAAGCTGATAAACTCATGTAGGAAGTGGTCAGTGCGAGTCAGCAAGAAGGGCCGCAGCTCATCCTGGATGGCTTGGTCTTCCATGTTGTATCTAGTGATGCGGGACATGATGATGTGTTGCACAATGTTCACCAGAGAGCCATGAGCACCGTAAAGCACAGTCAGCTCCCTTTTCAGCCAGGGCACGAGACGGTGTAGACAAGCTGGGTTCCTCTGGAAGAATTCAGCAGAGATGTCCCGATAGCGCCCCCCATCTCGGACACTCCTTACCCGCACGCCAGTGCGATACAGAGCCCGCCTGAAGTTGATGATCTCTTGTTCCCGCATGTGACGCACAGACCTTCCCTCAATCTGGGCTCTCCTCCTTGCAGCCAGCCTCAGCATCATGCGGTGAATTCCTCTGTTGTGCTGCTGCGCGGATGCACTGCTCAGGCTTTCAAACATCACCCCATTGTCTGGGGGTGGCGATGTCCTCCTCGGGGGATTGAACTGCCTGCGCTCTCTTGTCAAGGTGGTGCGGTACCTGAACCGATGCCCGTCTGGGCTGCCAAAAGAGCCGTTTTCCGTCGGGCGCAGGACGAATTCCTTGAAGTCGTCCTCGGCTTTTACGGTGTGGAAGATGGAGTTGAAAGGCTGCTTGCATAGCGGGCACTCTGCTTTGTTTTTGGACCACTCATGTATGCACCGGAAGCAGAACTTGTGAAGGCAGCGGTCCAAGTGTGCCATGTTGTTGAATTTGTCCAGGCAAATGGGGCATTTGGAGTCTGGAGATGCTTCCACCAATACAGTCTGTGACACTTTGCTGGCTCCATCTTTGGGGGAAAACTTCTTGCGCATCCTCAACTTCTTCTTGGTAGATGCCATCACCTCAAAAATAAAAAAACAAAAGCGTGTTACAATTTATAAAGTATATTTCAACACTATAATATACCCCAGTGTTGTGCAGTCTTTTTTCAATATCTTAAAAATAACAGAGAATTTCAAACCACAAAAAATCATCATAAAGTGCAATAATAATTAAAACAGGTATTAGCTGGAGTGAAATCATTCCTTAAATACTAGATTGAAATATAGGTGTTTAGAAATAAAAGGGACATCAACAATGCATCCACATATCAGTGCATTTGTAGATGTCTCAGCTTTTAGCAGTCAGCCAAAAGGCTTACAAATCAAGGAAAAAAGATCTTGAAACCCTGCAAATTGAAGAACAATGCCACAACTTTGTTGTATTCAATAATAATGAGTCTTTTTAATTAAAAAGAAAAGTTCTGTTCCTACTTAATTAAGAAGTTCGTTCCAATAAACAATCATGAATGCCTCAGAGTCCAAGTACATTTAGTTCATTAAGCTATTAGAAACCAAAGAAGAAAGATCGGTTGAATGACATCTGATTTGTTTGAACACATTTCTTATGTTCTAGTTCACGCTATCTCACAGATTAAGCATCTGAAAAGTATGAATACCTTTCACACCTCAAATATCGGGTTAGTGTGACCAAAACATTTAATTAAATAGGCCTCCTTAGACATTTTACTTTGCACAAAACTAAGTATTATACAGTCTGACAAGAATTCAACTATAAATAATGAGGCTATCGTCTTGGATAACATAACTTCTGTATTATATGCCACTGGAAAAGATATCCTAGTGTGGCACCTGATGCTGCTGAAACTGTCCCAGTGACTGAGGCTCACAGACAAGAACGGCAAAAGACACTACTACTTAAAACAGCTCTGTGTGCCAAAAAGTGTATTTTTTGCAGTTGTGTATTACCGAAATCATTAGATTTACTTTATGTAACTCCTCAAAACAAATGTACTTGTTTTGGATGAGCATGCAAATCGTTTTGGCATTTCTGCTCCATTTTTTTACAGTAAATGCAGAAATATAGACAGTCTGACGTATCCAGACGTCACTGAAATTTCGCCATGTCTCCTTCTCTTACGAACCTAGCTTATCTCGGTTATATAAACGATACGACGACTTGAACAAACCTGTTAATATTTTAAGCATTCTATATATGCCGTTCAATAAATACTTTGGCAAAATTAAATAAGTGCTATTTTTTTTTTTACTATACCGTAACGATATATTTCACCAAAACGACAAACGTTCATCAAACCCTAGAGGCATAAAGCCTCCCATTGTAAAATAAACTACACAACTGTACAGTATGTTTATGGGTACATGTACTGTATGTGTGCCAGAAAATATGCTAAAATACAATTACCACAGCTTAAAATAAATACAGTACTGTGAACTTTGAGCAGGCTGCCTATATTATTCCTTAAAAACTAGTATTACAGCGAAAGCAGGCTGGACATTGAGCCAGCGGAACTGACACTGACACAGTGACATTCCGGCTGACTCTCGATAACCAACACAGTGCAGGCGTCGCCGTCCACAAACGTGATTCCGTGTTGAAATCTAGGAACCACACGCAACAAAAAACTATCGATTGTCATTTTCCTATCTGCACCCCCGGAAAGACCTGGGAACAAGTACTGGAAGACATTTTGATTAGACTGCCACTTCTCCCCCGACCTGGTTAAACATGGCAGATACCATTATGCACACATTGGCTAAATATCTACTGAAATACTAAATATCTACTGAAATATTGTTGGTACATAATAACCATAATAACCCTTCCTTTCGCATTGTAGAGGCCTAAGTGACTGGGTTATTTCCCGAAATAGCATCTCGTAGTCTTAACCCCGCCTAGGAACTAGATAACCAATACGTATCAATACACAACTCGTTAGCCCACCATAGTTCCTTAAAACTGAACTAGCAAACGACATGAAAGATATACAAGAAAGAATAGGCAGAGCAAAAGCTTTCTTACCTACCAAGAGCAGCTGAGTGGCTCTTTTAAGTTTTGCTTTTTTTATGCCACTGCGCCGGTCTTTCGCGGGCACGGTGCGTCAGAGGAAACGGTCACCCGTCACAGACATCACAATCAAACGTCATGTAGGACAGACTTCAAAGTTAAACGTCATTCTCACCTACCAAGATGACAAAACATCGCCGATATCCGTGTTATGGTTACAACAATTTCTCCCCACAGCGAGCCTGCAGTTTTAGGCCTGCGCTGCGAGACGGGGAGGGAGGGCTCGGTTAGCGAAGGGGAGGCCGTGACGCTCCTGCCCCCTGGCGGCCCGGAGGAGCCAACGCGTACTGGGCCGCTGGTGGGGTCACCCACCCGTGACCGCGCAGTTTTGAGTCGCTTTCAACTGCTTATTCGTCAGCAGCGACAATATGAGAACACTAATTCATACACACAGAAGTATGGGTGACAATATGATTTCTCTCTCAGGAGTTACTCTTAAGACACAGTGTACGATTGCATTGACGTCTCCCACGGGGAAAAGCGGCGGAGTCTACATCTATACGGAGAGCATAAGCGGAAAAAAAATGTGGAAGTAAAACAAATCATGTTAGTGACAGTGCGACCTGTTTTGTTTACTTACAGTCATGCTGACTGTTTATTACTAAACTAATTAGAACAACATAAAGGGTTTGATGAATGAATCTCAACTTAAGGCATTATCCTACCCTTTGAATATTGTTCACAAGTGGTTTTATTTGCGTATTCCAAATATTTAATATCGACAGTGAATAATGTTCGTAGCTTCAACGAGCTAAATAATTGGCTAAATCTTGCATTTGCGGATTCATATGTAAAAAAAATAAGATTTGGGCATTAAAATAGCTGACGCCCGGTGGCGCTGTGGGTGAAGTCTCTTTGGAAATCAGTTGGCTTTCCGCAATGCAAGGCGGTGTTTACTCTGACTAACCCGCAGCGAGTTGATGGTGTGGTTTTTTTAGACAAAGGCTGTTGCTACTGGTGAAAATGTATTAGACAGAAGCTCTCCGGAGGTGCCAGGCGGGTACAAGGTGTTCCTGATGTGAGACAACATGATTTATGTCAGCCGCAGAGCTCTCGACAGGATGTACTCACTCGTAAGTGACCGACAAACCTGTCCTTCATAATGTACGTAATGAAACCGAGAATATAGTTTTTAGGTTCGCTTCTGTAAAATTGCACCATTTAAAAAGGACAGGGTGTTGATCAGTTCTGCTGCGATGTTGTTTTTTGCCCCTGTATGTGAACTCTGAGCATTCAAACTCCCCGTGTTGTTATAAATTCAAACTGTAAGCGTCTTACCCTAATGCACAACTTATTCAAATATTTATTTTATGTTTCCTACTTTAAGTGGCTTAAAACCAACTATTGGGGGGAAACTCAAGTCTTAACATTTAGTAAAACGGATGGATGTATTTCAGTGTTCAGTATCTTCAGAAAGTCCATTCTGAGCCATTTATTAGTTTTACGATTCTCAACAAATTAGTCTCAGGTTTAAATCAATGGAAATCAAATATTTTTTAAAAAAACTATCTACTCCCGTGAAGTTCCGGCAAAACTGTGTGCATATTTTGCTGTTCAGACATATTATAAATGTATATTTTAAATACTATTTGTAATATTGTAAAAAAACATAAGTTTTAAAAGCCGGTTATGGCAACTGTTACTGTTCATAGTTTCCAGTATTTTTGTTTTCAAATTATGGAAAAAGCATTTAACTCTTATTAGTGATTATTCAGGGGGCAAGAGATTTAATTTTCAGTGTGATTTATACAGCAAGCATTTTCATACAAATTCATTAAAAGACTTATGTTGAAGTTTAATGGTTTTATTTCTAAGGTACTCTTGGCAGTGGTACTCCTGTCCTGGGGATACGTCATATATGGAACGAGAATAGCAGCACAGTGGCAGCTGGAAAAGCAATTCAAGATCAATAACTGAAGTCCCTGAGGAACTGAGGCGTGTGGACGGAGGGGGTTAAATGTACCACCCAGACCAACCTGCAAAAGGAAGATGAACCTTATGGATAAATAAACTTTCTGCGAGATGGAATGAACTGTATTCAATTCAATTTATGTTTGTATAGCACCTTTCACAACAAGGCACTTAATGCAAGTAACCATACATTTTGTGAATACAGAACAGAAGACAACAGAGGAGAGGAACCAAAAACTCCTTAGTAAGAAGAAAAAAAACCTCTAGGTGTCCAAGGTCAACTGGCTGCCCAACCCCTTAGGGCATGCTAACATTATATAGTAAAAAAAAAGGAAATGAATGAGGGTATTAATCCATCATGTTTTCTGTATGTCAGTACTCCATGCACATCTCTGTAGACCAGCAAAATCCTCCTAAACGATAGCTATATCCACGATGTCCCTCTGGGATCCAAAGTATTTGCAGCTCGAAGTACTTGTGCACCACTGAAGATCAACACAGAATGTTCTTAATATGCTTCATTGTGGTTTAAAAAGAATCCATATAGTGTCATAGCATTTCAATCTTCTGGTTTAACAAAGATTATTTAGAACTTTGTGATCTTTATGCGTGTTAAAGGTATGCCTTCTCTACTTCATTGCAGGACAATCAATTGGGACTTTCATACTTTTTTCAAGACCTTACCCAGCCATCAAGATACCCCATTAAATAGGCAATTAAGACCAAAGCTAAAAGAGAGAAAGCTGAAGAGTAGCTTTAAAGTTTTAACAATTTATTATTCAGGCAGTGATAAAGGGTTTTAGTACTTAATTTGGGAAAAGTATCGTAATGGCTGTTTAGATAAGACAATCCTATACTTTATATCCTAACCTAACTGCTGGGAGTAATTGACACTGTAAAGGCTCAAGACTGATCATGCAGTTTGTGTAACTTCTAAGTAGGCATTGAAAATACCCTGAATTAACATTTATGAAAATTAAAATCCTTAGGTAAATAAACTTAGGTGAGAGAAGTACAATCTCTGTATTTCTGATGTTTGTCCGCCACACGATCTGTTAAGGTTAGGATTTGCTGCCCCTTCTGTTGTAGGATTTCAACTTAAACAGATCAACTGTACATGGCACAAAACAGAAAATGGACAAATAAAATGAAGGTGGCATTTGTAAATTAGTTTTATTGTTAAATAAAATCCTTTTAACCTCAGAAAAGTACACGTGGCTTTTTCTGTCTTTTAGGAACTTGTTCAGTGGTGTCCAAAGCTTTCCATTTCCGGGAAGGGAGGAAGGACCTCTCCAGTTTCCATGATTGTGTCCCCCTAAAATAAATCAAGCAATACGAATCACACGGGATTGCTCAACACTTTCATACCTGCTTCCTCCAGAATAACTAACTTCAACATGCTGAATTGCCTTCAGCATTAATTTCCTTATGAACCTTATTTGGCTGACATCCTAGTTCACACAAATGTTTGTCAATGAATTTGGAGATGAAAGTGAAGGCACAACGGATTAGTCTTCCATATGCAGATTTTCAGTATTCAAACACTATTAAGCGCTACATAAGACATGGGATACTAGACAAGGTAAATAACACTTACAGGGAACAGCCTTGGTTTTGCTTCTACAATACCATATGGTTTCATCTAGAATAAAGAGAACAAATGAAGAACAGATCATTAGAATCCATAACTGCATGCAAAGCTGTATTAAAATGAAATACACAGGTAGCCAATACATAGTTACATACTATAATATATTCTAAAAGAAAAATGGCTTTGTGCTGCTACTCATCTGCCAATTGTGATGGCAATTTATATTTGTATTTAGTACATCCCAAACTTACCGCAACATGATACTTGACATAATAATGACAAATCCAAGCAGGAATTATCAGCTGAGTTAAGGACCATTTTCCAACCCGGTAGGCTTTATAAGTCTGAAAAGAAAGGCTTGTGTTAAAAATAGTTCAATTCAAGCTTATTATTATCCTCTGGGGAAAATTATGTTATGACACACCGCAGTACAACAATAAGAATAAGGAAGACAGTCAATACTTGAGATTCCTTTTACACCCGGGGACACAGAGGCATCTCCCAGATGTGACAAGTTTAAATTCAGAATGGAGGGGGTGAGACACACACCTCATAATGCTCTTGGCCTTCTGTACAACTTTTTGTTTGTAGAGGATATCTTATTTGATTTTTCACAATTATTTTGCTACTTATTTTCACTAATTTTCCCCCAACTCAATTCATTTAATGACACTAATGCTGCCAAACCAACAACTGAGACAGTGTGATAAGACACTTTCAATAAAAGTGTTAAAATATTTCTAAAAATATTTATAGTTCTTAAAATTGTTCTAGAAATAGGTGAGTTTCAGAAGGAAAAAAAAGAGTCTCTGTTGGTCTTTTTCTAAATGGTGTCACATTTGTCCAGTCTTAGGTTTTTATCTGCAAGTCCACTCCCAAGTACTTGGTAGTCACTGACAATTTTCTCCACAGACCATTAATTACAGCAGGTAAGATAAGATCACTTTATTGGCCATATACAAGTTCTTGTATTAGGAATTTGTCTTTTCGCATACCCCAACTTGCTCTCCATGAGACACACAGACAGGGAGAGAAGCTTGGGGTCAGAGCACACGGTCAGACACTTATACGTCACCCCTGGAGCAGTTGGGGTTAAGGGCCTTGCTCAGGGGCCCAACAGAGTAGGATCCCTCTGCCGGCTGCGGGATACGAACCAGCAACCTTCCAGCCACAGGCACAGATCCTTAGCCACAGAGCCAGGGGTATTGCATTTTCCCTAAAATCAATAACTTGTTTCTAGATTTTGACTTCAAAGAGAACTCATTGCACCATTTAGCAAAATCAAGTAGAGAGGGGAAATGATGATTTTCTGTGTTCTTTAATAAGATGACCAACCTATCACAGGGTTGCTGATACATTCATACATACATTGAATTGAATTGAATTGAATTAGTGTTCATTGCCCCTAAGGAAATTTTGTACATCAACAGCTCATATTCATATAACATTACTATGACAATAATACAATACAGCAACGATACAATACCATGACACAAAACAGCATTCAACAACAGTCCGGCTCAGGCCGAACTCAAGTGACTCAAACCCGAGCCACATTACTGAATTAAAGACATGTATTGCTAGCGACAGTCCTCCACCACACATCTGAGAATCTGCTGGGATTATCCACGAGGCCTACAGCAGCAAGTATAAAACTGTGCATCCCATCACTAGACTTTCCTCTTCATTTGCCTGCGAACATAAAGTTTACAAAGGCAGAGGCCATTCAGCCGGTCAAGCAGATATTGGCTAACTGTTGTACGGATATCATGCAGACCTTTCTTGCAAGAGTCCAGGGTATATCAGCGTCAGCTTTACCAACATGGCTGGGCAGCTTGTTCCAATCTCCTGAAACGCTTTAGTTTAAAAATGCCTCCTGTTCTCGGATCTAATAAGCTGTGGCTGTATTTAAGTTATATATTATTGTTGTTGTTGTTGTTGTTGTTGTTGTTTTTAAGACGAAGACAGTCATTATTAGGCGTACTTCGATTCTCGTCACAATTCATGAAACGGTTCTCAATGAACAAAGGCACCAAGCTTTAACTGGGCGGACAGACAGTTTTTTGATATGCCCACTGAGAAGGTAATTGTCTTCAACAGGTCAGGACGCGAATGCATTACTGATGTACAGTGGAATACAATGTCACCCCCTTGTCGGAAATCTGCAGGGGAAAGTTACACCACTAGGGAGCACACACAGAGCAAGACGAGTAATCGGCCTAGATCGGACGTAAGCAAGGTAACCCCGAAAAGCAAGCACACGGGGTTCTACTGAACAGGAGCGTTCTTTCGTATCTACTCACGTAAAGCCTCCACAGGCTTCTGGGCTCCAGAAACCGTAACCAGAATTTCTCCACAAGTCCCGGTTTTGCGGGGGGCAGGACGGGCTCTCGGGGGCTCAGCTCATGGTCCTTCAGCCACTGTCGCCGCAGCTTCACCAGCTGCTGCATGCGAAGCCTCTGGTCCGTAGTGTACCCCAGCATCCTGAAGCTGGTACGATCACCCCGCAAATTCTAGTAAAAACACCGACCTTACACCAAGAAGACAGAGGACAGCTGAGCAGCGCTCTGTCGCCTGGAGATGACGTCAAGCCGTCGCTCTTGCACGTCTCGGTGTTGGGTGACAGAGACGCCTACCGGCGTGGAGGGAAACACACAAACCCTTCAAAGAGGAGGAAGGCAGATTCATGTCTTGTGAAAGGAATTAATTGAGGACAGTTTAAGACTTAAGATTTCGTTGAACGGAATTGAGCAACAACTGTATGTCACATATGCAATTCAGACGTAGTGGAAAATGCTGACTGCCTCTCGGAAGCATCGATTTCCCACAGCCTTAATAGTGCGACTTCATGTCTTTAAGGCTTTTTGCATTTGATTAGCGTAAGGAAAAAAATAAAAAATGCGAAGGCAAAAATACTCAGAATTCATCATTCAACAAATGTTTTATGCCAATTTCTGTTAGCGATCGAAAGTCGGAAAGTATGTCTTGTATCTTTCTGGGATCGTGTGACTGTCTCAGGTCATGTGACGAGCTTGTTAAATTTTTATTAACTGTAAAGAATTTACAAGTGCAAGTACAATTAGAGGAGCAGAAACAGATACAAGAGAAAAAAACACAAACAGAAAAAAAAACAATTAACTGCCAGAGGTAATGAAGTAGATTATTATATGACCAAATGATATATTTTTACAAATATCAAATGTTTTCCTTGCTTTAGCATTTTTCAAAATTGTAAATAGAATTTAAATGGTTTCAACTCCATCTCAAAAGTACTAAAAAAGGGAGTATTAATGGACCATTTTGATTTATGAATGTGACATTTACCCAGAATGACTAATACATTTACTATAAATATGCTCTTTTCCCAAATTTGCTCTTACACAGTACAACAAAATATCAAAATCCTTAAATCTAAATTAAATCTAAAAAACACCTTTGAATGCCCGACAAAAAACACAAATCATCCTGCTCCTGCCTAAATTTAGAGAGTACTAATTTAACTCGATAAAACTTTTTAACAATTTTAAACGATATCTCTTTAACTTTATTTGTAATACAATATCTATCAGGAGTTGTCCAAACTAATTTCCAGTTTATATTTTCCAACATTGCATTCCAAAAAGATATACAAGGAGGGATAAGATGGGGTTTACAAAGATTCCTTATGGGCTGTAGCGCCCTCGCCTGGCGTTGCGGCCGAAGAGCGCCCGGCTGGGGTGCACGGCTCTTTTGAGTTGATAGGTATTAGTATATTATTATCTTGGAGTTTCCAATTATTTAAATTCTCGTGCTTCCTTAAACAGTGCTAATTATCTGCTTCTTACATAAAACTTTTCTTGGATCAGCTACTACAAGACCAGCAGTCATATCACCCTGCAACTCACAACTGACAACCCACTGAAGTTAAGAAGGTCAGTACCTGGATGGGAGACCTCCTGGGAAAAACTAAGGCTGCTACTAGAAGATGTATTAGTGGGGCCAGCAGGGAGCTGCACATTGGTGGTGGTGGAGGGGAGTGCCCATTACCTGTAAAGCGCTTTGAGTGGATTGTCCAGAAAAGTGCTATATAAGTGGAAGGAATTATTATTATTAAGACCTTAAAGACTCAGAAGGCATGTCCTGTTTAGGTAGGCTCTAATTGAGGCACCTGTAGTAACAATAATTACAACAAGATGGCAGTATGTTAAAGTTAATAAACCAGAACCTTCTTACTGTAGCCCTGACCTCTACCGAGAGTACACTCTCCTCGTCTGAAATGATTTCATATAAAGAATCAGGAAAATTTGTCTTAATAAATTAGTGTTGCAGATAAAGGCGCTAAAAAACACTTGAGTGAGAATGACTCTTTGCTCTTCATCTGCCATCTTTGCATTGTGTTCATATGTGAACAAAAAATAACTTTTATATGTATAAAAAATAACATTTCCAAAAAGTTAAAAAGGGATTATTTTTGAAATATCGTTACAGTTTTATACATGATCTTATTATTGGCACCCGTGTTGCCTGCCTAAATCCATCAGTTGTCAGATGCTAAGCAATGTGGGCCTGGTCAGTACTGGGATGGAAGACCCAAAAAACAATTGCTGTTGGAAGAGGAGTTGGTGCTGTAGGTTCCACACTTCCTTCTGGAGCAGAACTTCCAAAACCCATGCCCCAGTATGGTGATTGCTTATAACAACATAGGATGAGATGTTAAAGTGAGGTCGTAACTGCTTGATCAGGATTTTATTGCCCTTTTCAAAGAGAAGCTGTGTCCCAGCTAATGTTCCTCTCTGGACTTGCACAATCTGGCCTAATGTTCTTCCTTATCTCTTTTCTCAATTGGTAAATCAGTTTCTCTTTTCTCTGCCTGTTCTGCTGTGTTGTGATGCCACTGGTGCATGTCAGCCACGTGGGGGCTGCACGTCAGTGGATCCATGGTATCCTAACCTTAACTAGAAACCACATCACTCATATCATAAGACAGGAGACGTTATCATCCACTTTTACATCTGGTTTCGGTAAAAACAAGAACTGTGTGGAGTGCTACCTCCAGGTCTTTCATCAAATTTTTAAGCAGTGGCTCAAGAGATGAGTATCATTTCTCTTTGTTGATTGTAAAATCGAAATGAGGCAGGATCTTGAGTGGGATGCACAATTTCCACTTGTACATGCTTGTGTCCGTAAAGATGTTAGACATACAGTATTCAACATTTTCAGAGAAATGAAAAATTATTTGTTGCCGTATTGGAAAGTAGAAAGGAGTAGAAAAGTTTTCTTTTTTGGCTGTAACCACAACAGTTAAAACTGAATAATTATCCAATTATAGGCTAAAGTAATTCACATATACAATCCTTATATTTAAAGTTTCAAATTGTTCATAGTGAATTGGAGTGAAAAGTTAGCATGGTTATCTCTGAATGAAAGGAAAGTAACTTTGCTCTTGGCACGAAATGTACTCTGTGTAGCCAAGTGTTTGAGAGAATCTAAAAACAATCCAGTCCACTTCTTAAGTTACACATCTTTATGCTGATTCCGGTAGCAGGGAGGTCGACATATTTTAGTGCCAAGGAAAGAAATAGAACATATTGATGTAATTTGGACTCAGGCATGAAAGAAAATCTTCCAGCAAAGCTCTACCCAGCTGCTAGGGGACCAAGTGGTAATCTTCAAACTCCCGATCAGATATTACGCTGGCCTGTTCAATAAAAGAGAAGTCTGAAATCTGAAAGCTGACAAAACTTGAATTGGTGTGTATGGTCAAAATAAAATAAAAAAAACATTAAATGTCAAACATGGTGTAAGTTTTGTAAAGCCAATACTGTAACCCTATCTGTGGATGGCACTGCACTTGAACTTCAGTCTAAATTGAAAAACAGGAGGGTGATATATGATTCAGACTTGACAGTCGACCCACATGTGCAACGTATTATCAAAACATCTTTCTTTCACCTCAAAGCTATTGCTAGACTACATCCCATGTTATCGCTAACTGTGGCTGAAAAGCTGATCAACACATTTGTCTCCTCCTGAATTGACTACTGTAACGCTCTACTCACTGGGGTCTCTAAATCCACGTTGAACAAACTCTTGCACCAGTTGCAACATTTTACATTTCGAACAACATTTTTTTGCCTCGTCTGACCTCCAGCCATATATCTGCAATATATCCCAGATGAGATTTCAGATGGACTTCTGTAATGTTTTTTTCTTGCTTCTCACTCATACAGTCAGGTTTGTGTGGGGGCTGGTGTACTGTTGATCGTATGAACAGTGGCTCTTTGCAGATCTTTCATAGTCACTGTAGACTTACTATTGGCAGCCCTAAGCAGCTTCCTTCTTGTCCCCCTGCTCATATTTGAAGAGTCTGCATGGCTTGATGCACTTTGCACTTCTTACTCTATAGTTATGACATGCACTTGCAAGGATAAGTAACCTACTCCCTATCTCCAGCACTTCATCCCTGTGTTTTGAAAGCTTCTTTGTCTTCACGGCTTGATTTTCAATATTGCTATAGTATGTGAAGCTTATATTTCAGTATCTGAGGGAATTTACAGAGACAAACGCGTTTACTCTAAAGTCAAGTCAAGCTACTTTGATTACACAGACTAATTTTGCGACCTTTCAAACTATTCTTTTAGCATCTGAACAGAATTACTGTTGCCTTAGCAAAGTGGTCACATGCGAGGCTTCTACATAGTAGTAAACCCTTAGGAAAACTTAGCTGATCCACTATTTTTGCTAGAATGAATTCCATCTTTCATTCTCCAGCACATCCTTTCATTCAGGACTGAACTGTATTTCACTTTAGCAATAACAAGTGGCACAGCCTGAAACGTCCTAGATTACCACAACATTTATTTTGAAATTCATCAATAAAATACATCTAAAAATATATGAATCCCACTCCAAACAGACATAATACATTTGGAATTTCAAAGCTAGGACATTTCATTTCTTGTAGCAATGAAACTAGTTTGCTGTGCAGCTCTTGAAGGCCATTACGTAAAGGCACACACTATGCATTCTATACATACTGACCTAAGGCCTTGCATTCCAGAAAGCTGTTAGCTTTTCAGGGACATGTTAGAGTCTGAGGACCCCAAACATATAGGCTGAGAGACATTAGGGTGTTTTTAGCAGTGAGAAACATAAATTATTTTGAGTATAAATACAGTTGTACCTTGATTTATGTTAGTCATAATCTTCTTTATATAGTACATAAGATACAGTACCTCCGTTAGTGACCCACATTTTGCAACCCCAAAGCAATGTGCTGTTGTAGTGTTGTAGTAGAGTAGAGTAATGTGCATGCTTTATGGCCCTGAGCTGCGATAGTGTTCTTGTGAGACAGCCCTTTTACCAGAACCATTATGGACTCGTGCATTCCCTCACGACACCTTGTGCTGAAAACTGCAGGCGCTTCATGACAGGAGGTATTTTCACTATCCTGGCTCTCTGGGGGGCCTGTTTCCAGGAGCCCTCTCCTTTCCTCTCCCTTTCAATCATTCCTTGATGAACACTTCAGGGGGGGTCTAGTTAGCCCGTGACTTTGAGAGGCCTTCGTGTGTTTTTGACAACTGTCCTAATAAATGTGATGGCAGGCAAATCAGAAGAG